GGGAGCGGCGCTCTCCGCCCTCCCAGCGCGCAGGGCCGCAGGGCCCGTACCTAGTGCGAGAAGGCGGCCGGTGGGCCAGCGCGCTGCTGGTCTCAGGTGACCGGTGCGCATAAGGTGACAAGGTGCCCTACATTAAGGAGAAGTAACTTCAAGGTTTAGGGCATGTCCTCTTCGGGCGGGAGGGAGCCCCCCCCCCGACAACGAAAGCACCACTAAGAGACAGGCCCCAAGGCATTATTCCAAACTGCATCCGTCTGTCCTCTCCTTGGGTCGGCGAGGAGCACAGGGCGCGGGTGCTAAGGGGGAGCCTAGCGCCGGCTCTCGATATCGTGCTGGGACAGGCACCCCGCGCTGCGCCCCGGCGCAGGCAGCCCTGGCGCAGGCACGTCGGGCAGCGGTGCCAACAGGTGTGTAACCAACCTGATTTCTTCGGAGGCCGTGGTGTCCCACCCACCGCGCACGCTTCTGCAGCAGACAGGTAATCGGGTGCTCGCGAGGCCTTGCGCTGCGCGTTGGGCCGGTGGCGTGGGCAGCCGCAGGGCAACAACCGGCATTATGCTGGGTCGGTAGGGACACGTCGCTGCGCTCTGTGCGCGTCCCGCTCGCCCCCTCGCACATCAGGCAGAAGTTGTCGCTCTGGCCAGGCACCAAAGCTTGCGTTTTGCCTGTGCAGATTTGGAAAAGGGGGGGGGGCTTCACTTTTGCTCTGCACACAGCCTAGTACAATGACATCCCGATCCACCACTGGGGCTCCTCGGCGCTAGGACAGTGCCAAAGACTGACAAAAACCTCCGCAGGTGAGCAACAGAGCTGCTGCTGAAGAGGAATCGGTGACACCCAGTGGAGGTGGAAGTTTTTTGTTTCTTCCAGTGCCGCTGGTCACACCACTGTTCAGCAGCCCTTGAACAGAAACGGGCTCGAGCAGCGTGCCCCCAGTGCCAGGAGTGTCATCCTGAAACAAAGCCTGCTTTCCAAAGAGCAAATCGACCCCCAAAGTGAACTTCTGAGAGCTAGAAGAACCGGGAGGTCATTTGCATTCACTTCAGCGCTTCAGTCCCTCTTCCCCGCTATGGTGACCTGACAAGCGAAGTCCAGGGGCTCCCTAGGCTTCATTTTTGCTTTTTCTGTATTTCTGATGCTGAAGGTAGAAACAGTTGTTTTGTCTGACTTATCTCTGCAGGTTGGTGCTTAACGCAGCACGGGGGATGGGATAGGTCAAGGCTAAGCAAACCGGCGTCTTACAGCTCTGCAAGAGCAGAAAGTGGTAAAAGCTCCTCAGAAAATGAAGACAATTTACTGAACTAACCAGTGACTTTCCCTTACCCTGTCTGCTCCTAAAATATTTGTGCCTTAGCTGTGTGTGTGCGCACGCACGGGTAAGGCAGATATAAAATAACACTCCTGTGCAGATTGCAGAAGGGTAGGGTATTGCCTCTGGAAATAAAAATGGGCTAGAAAGCATGCTCCCAGAGCGCTCAATTCATAGGAAGGTGTCTGCAGGTAAAAATCCTAACTCTTCCATATTTTCTAACAGCACCGTTCAGACTCTCACTGAATCTAGACACCCAGAACCAGCCTGCCTCTTCCTTAATGTAAGGAAGCAGAAATCAATATTTTTGCTTAGGTACAATAATGCCGCAACTTTTGCCATTTGGACTGAATACAGACTTGCCTCTGTGTTTAGAAGCCAAGCTAATAAGGCTGTAAGGTCCTGTGGCGGTCATTTAGAAACAGGCACTTCCCTTGTGCTAGGTATCCTCCTTTGGCAGTGCACGGCTGTTATCCAGCGCTTGGAAGGGTTCTGCAGCCTCCGCGCAGGATCGCCCCAGACCGTCTGTGCTGGTCCGTGGAGGGTAGCTGCCGGCGTCACCGGCGAGCGTCAGACCCCTTCACACGCGTTTATTGGGCTCCGCGGCGTGGGAGTGCAGCGAGCTCAGGGCACCCGGCAGGGCCGGACTCGCTCCGCATGGCGGGAATCCCTCCCTGTGCGCGGCCAGGTGTGTTTTGCCCAGCGATCGGGCAGCGCGGCCGGGCAAAGTCACTGCTGTTGGTCCACGTGGCGTGGCGGAGAGCCAGAGGGAGCCGGCGGGCTGCTTGCGAAAGCCGAGGCGCGCCGAGGGATGCGGGAGGGGCGGCCGA